AGAGTTTGATCGTGCAGAGCAGATACAGACTTCTATTCTACCGACGACGTAGGACTTCTTTCCAGATATTAGATTTGGATTTTATCTTCAGTTATTTACTTTCATGCAGTTTGGGATTTTATTAGGGGTCCACTAGAGATGGATTCTCGAGTTGTTAAACTTATGGAGTTTTGGATTATCAGATTCTAAGTATTTAATTATAAAGGATTTTATTTCTAGATTCTTTCAGCTTATTATTTTTATTTCTTATTTTATCTTGTATTCCGTGTTCATTTTAAAATATTAATTGTTCGATATCCCTCGGGTTTGGGCCTGCGCCTGATCAACCCGTGTCTCGGATCTGAGGGGTATTACAATCCGTATATATCTCACTATATATCAAAATCAAATTCTTGCAAATATATCACATAGTCATCCGGAACAGCAGATCTCTTTTCTTTTTTAGATCTTTTTAATGTTATTCCTCTGTGATTCTTCTACAATATTTTTCATTGTTGACAATCTCATTATGGAGTTGTTGATCATTCAATTGTTATTCATTGTTATACGGTTCAACAACTGAATGAACAATTATTTCCTTAGAAGTTATGGATAAATAAATTTATACTATAATTTCTTGAATGATCACATTATTATTTTTATCACTCCCACTAACTTTACCATTCTCAATGAATTTGACATTACCGGTTTCAATAATTATCATACTATGTATAGGATAGTAAAACTTGTACCCTTTAGATTACTTAATATCCACAACATTATGGGTAACGAGGAATTACTTAACATACTCCTAACCAATTCCATAAGAGTACGATTACACCTTACAGCTACACGCTTCTGCTGTGGCATGTATAATATAGTGTATTGAGCACAAATGCCATATATTTCAAGGAGTTTAACAAATGGTTAAAGTATTAACCCGTTTAATCATACTTTCCATAATATTCACCACCTCTATATGACCTTATGATTTTCACTTTTATATCTAGTTGTTTTTTAATCTCATTTATGTATACTTCGAGAGTACCCACTATTTGAGATTTTTCATACAACAAATAGATATATCCATAACGTGAAAAATCAATTATAAAGACGATAAAATACTTTTCTCTTCCAGAAGATAGAATATCAGAAGGTCTACAAATGTATGTATGAATAATTTCAAAAAGCTATGTACTTATTGTGGTTCATTTCTTTGTGTGTTTGGTTTATTTACCCTTAATACAATCCAGGCACACACCAAAATCAGTAAAGTTTAGATTCAGAAGAATCACATCCTTTACTAATTTTCCTAACCTTTCATTAGATATTGACCTAGTCTTTTATGCCACAAGAAAAATAAATTTTCTATTAATTGAGCTACACTTAATTCTAACATTATGATGTAAGATCAAAAGATTTTTAATAAATTAACTATCAAGTTTGAATTTACAGAAATCATCAACAATAATACCATAACTCACAAATTAGAATTTCTTGAATAAACATTATTATCAAACTAAAAGGATAAATCATTAACATAAAGTTTTGAAATAAAATCAAATTGAGAGAAATTGAAGAAATATAAAGAGTTTAAAACAATTTAAATATAATCCATTATTTAAGACTAAACAAAATATCTCAATGGTTTCAACAAAACTTTTTTTCAATTCTCATAAATAAAAAATTCTCATTTGAATTTGTGATTTAGGCCATAAGAAATCCTTACATCTATTAGAAATATAAACATTAATACTTAAGTCAACCTATCATGTATTAGAAGGAATATCAATAAGTGATTCGAAATATACATAAGTTAAAAGACTTATCTCTTCTTTTTATTTTTTCTGAATAATTTTTTATATTTCATGTAATCTTTCTAAAAGTGTTCAATACATAAATAATAATTTTATATTATTACATTCCTTTCTTTTAGTAGATTGACCTAATTCTTTTAATTTTGGGTTTTGCTCACTTAATGCCTTTTTCAGGCTTATTCCCAAAATTTATTTATAACTTCTTGAGTCATTAGATGAATATAATGATTACCTTGCTACTTAAATCTTGTCTCCTCCTAAATTAACATAATGGTCAATTAAATTACTTTCCACTTGTCTTAATAATGTTAATTTTCTAAATGACCCATATTAAATAATGTTTAATCTGTTCGATCTCTCCCAAGCTTTATGGAGAATCTTTTCTTCTTTACTGTTTTTATCAGTAATAATAGTATGTTTCTCAATTTAAAATGCTAAATCTTGATTTAGCACACCTAAAATTTGAACTTAACTTACTCATTCAATTATGAGAAATTAGTCATATTGAGAACCAGAACAGATGTAGCATGAGTATTAAGGGATGTAATAAAGCAAACATAATAAGATAAAATACTCACAACAACAATGCTTTGAGTTAATAACACGTATGTATAAATAACTAAAAATATAAATACAATGTATAAGTATAGTACCCCTTTGGGTGGCAACTATAAAATACTAATAATGATGCTTACATGTATTTATATATATACCTTTATTAGTGATGCATTATTTAATTAAACAGATAAGTTACCTTTGAATATCCTATATCTACCCTATTAAAAAATTCATACAACCCCTTAATTTTTATTTAATCACTTAAAAATCAATTCCCTTGGGAGAATTATTTCTCATGGTTAAATAAACCCAATATTCATGAATATCATAAAAAATTATAAGTATCATAATTCATGAAATATTGCAATTATGTTTACTACTAAAATTAATATTCATCAACCATTATGGTTAGGCCACTTTGGTAGCTACCAACCTTCACATAATATGAATATTAAATTAGATAATAACTAATTTATGATTAATTATGTCTACTACAAAAATTAATTTTCATCAATCATTATGATTGGGCCACTTTGATAGCTACCAATTTTCACATAATATGAATATTAAATTAGACATAGATTAATTTATCATTAAGTTATATTTACTACTAAAATTAATATTCATCGATCATTATAGTTAGGCCACTTTGGTAGCTACTAACCCTCATATAATATGAATTTTAAATTAGCTAGTAACTAATTAATCATTAATTTACCCATTTAATATTATACACACATACTCATACTGATCGATCCAAATTTAGGTAGGTTCGATCCCTGAAATTTAATAGTCCAAAAATTCAATAAAAATATCCTTTTACTTTATATATATAATAAAATATGTTATTTTTTATTTTCGGACTTAAAGATCATAATTGAATCAATTTAAAATTGATTCTCCAATATGTATGTATGTTTGAATACAAAACAATAATTTATTTGTATGTCTAACAAAATTAAATTAAATTTCTAAACTCACACATTATTCCAGAAATTTAATTTTCTACAATAAAATAAATAATTTATCATATATGTAATTAATGATATATGATAACAAGTATATATATAAGTTTGTACAAAAACCAGTAGTTAGTATTAAAATTCATCACCTCGATTTACGCAAAAAGCAAAACCAACTATTTCAATTCCAATTGCTATTCTAGTCATGCACGGAATAAAATAAAAATAAAAAAACTCATACATACTTCAACTATCAGACAATTCAATAAGGATAAGAAATCAATTTATAGGCTCAAAAATCGATCATGCAAATCAAAATAAATTGATCAATTGATCCATCATATTAATCCATTATGCACCCACGATTTTAAAACAAATTTAATTATTTAATTATTTAATTTTAATTTATATATATATTATTTATGCAAACTTTAGTAAAAAATAACGAGTTCCTAAACCATAAGCTCAAAAACCACATGTAAACTATAATTATTCATGCAAACCATTATTCATAAATAAACATAAATCCCAAGATCTTAGAACTTCATGATTTTCACATATCTATAATGCATAAATAAATATAGTTAGATATACATACCTCGATTCATGATATCAAACCTTATTGAAATTAAATCTAACATCTAGATCCTTTAACCACGAACTAATCTGCAACTCTGATTAACAGGTAAAGGTGGAAACTGGTTTCTCTCTCTTGATCTTTTGTACACATAAAACTTTTACGTGTTGTATCATTAATTATACATAATTAATGGAGTATATACATTTTTATAAAGACAGAGAGAAGACCAGTTTTCCTTTTAGTAACATAATTCTAATTTCCATCAAAGTAAGGAATAAGAAAGGAAAACACTTCTCTAATAAGTAATTACCAAAAAGGTAATTATAAGTTGACTAAAAATAAATAATATTAATTGATATCTATTTACTTAGCCACCAAGTAATATATCACATGTCCAAATCACATGGACCACAATTAAATAAATAATCTTACAATACTATCAAGAGAACTCTCTCATGACAAGAGTTACGACCTCTCCATATTTAACCACTCTTTTGATAGCATTACTCTATTCTTATTTGCATCTAATCTCTGAGTATAATGGCAACAACTTGGTGTTAGAACACAAATAATGTATTGTTGGAAGAAGACATAGATAAATAACCATAGTTTGTAAATGAAACTTAGTTAACAATTATTTAACGATCACCTATCTGTATCTCCTTTCCCAAAGAGGCATCAGATCTTATGTAAACCCTATAATGGATTGCTATTGTCATATTGTACTGGTATTATATTTTGATGGGTTGTAACATTGATATTTCGTTAATTCTTTGTTTTTCTCTTTCGATAGGATGAGAAATTCTCTTACTAAAAGATACTTCATAAGTGAGACCGGCAGTGGTGTTGTAGTTGACTGTATTGTCTGCCTTTGTATCTTTAATGGGTAGTAACTGCTCCTGCTTTCAATATGCTATTTCCAAATTAGAGACCCTTTTTTTGGGTTCCCACCAAAAGGGTTATCAAGAATAGTTGAAGAGATCATAGTGGATTATTATATATAACAAGAATTTCTCTATTTACTTGTAATGGATTGCAAATTATACCTTATTAATTGCACAATTGTTTAAGCTCTTCATTTATTTTCATTTTTGAAGAGGATACATGGCTCCTGAATATGCAATCAGAGGTTATTTGACAGACAAATCAGATGTTTACAACTTTGGAGTAGTTCTATTGGAGACTGTCAGTGGGAAAGCATTACAAATTACAGGCCAGGGGAGGAGTTTGTTCACCTTCTAGATTGGGTAAAACTTTTCCTTTTTGAGTTTTATCCTCTTTAATTAGATGGTATTTTGTACACACCTCTACAACTTGCACTTGTTTACATGACTTCAAATGCACTCCAAAAAGGCCTGAAATAACTATACTTTTTCATGTTTTTAAGTTACTCATTTGGAAAGTGTACATGGGATTAAAAAAAAAAAAGTTGCATTTTATCTGGGTATCAATTGCAGGCTTGTATTCTGCAAGAGCGGGGAAACCTTTTAGAACTTGTGGATCCGAGAATTGGTTCAAACTACTCAAAAGAAGAGGCAATGAGGATTTTAAACTTGTCTCTTTTATGCACCAACGCATCTGCCGCCTTTAGACCGTCCATGTCTTGTGTGGTGAGTATGATCGAGGGCAATAGCCCAGTCCAAGCGCCAATAGTGAAGCTTAGATCAGAGAACGAGGATTCCAAGTTTGAAGCCATTGAGGAGCTATCACTGGACACCCAGACAGACGTCTCCACAGTCTCTCAGACACAGGTGGAGCCAAAAAATTTAATTTGGACTCTATAATTTAAATTTGAAAATTTTATAAACCAATTGTAATATAATACTGTGGTGTTTTAAATACTATTATTAGTATATATACCTTGAGAAAATCCAAAAATAGATTAATTCCTCGATTTCTATTCAAATTAATAAGAATTAGTCTGTGGATGAGCCGTGTTTAATTTGGTTCATTATTTACCCTTTAGCTTCCAGCTTTTCTTTGTAATTTTCTTTCCTTTTTGGACTTTTGGAATGGCAATTTTTGAAGAAGTCTTCTTCATGCTTATTTTAAAGAATTTTGAATAGTTCCATTCGGTATAAATGAATATGCTTGTTATCATCATACATCAAGACATTACACCAATTGGTGTCTCCACGCTTAATCAAGCTTTTAAGTCCTCGATATAACTATTTACAAGCTTTGACCATCTTGATTGTCAAATACCTATTGTTAAATGAGTAATGATATTTGTACCGATTTGTTGTAATGAATTACCTAATCGAAAGAAATAGGTCGACAATTCACTATAACAAATCGCATAAATAAAGAAGTGGGGCCATTCACTTATATGTATTATGTATAAAAAACTAATTTGAAACATTCGGTTAAATAATTCACTATAACAAATCGGTGCAAGTATATTACTCTTGTTGAATATGTGTGTGTGTGTGTGTATATATTTTAGTTGGTATTCACACATCCCTTCTAAGAATTTATTTGTCCCCCTGAAATCTAATGGTTCATGAGATACCAAGGTCAAAATCATTTCCAACTAGACCAACCTCTTAAGATTATATATATATATATATATTAGCATCAATAATTATTTTAAATCTACACTGAAAAGCTATTCTAAATCTTTTAAGGATATCAATAGGAAGGAATATAACATATCAACTGACAATGGTGACCTGAAGGAAAAATTTACTACAAGGAATATTATGTGCATAACTGCTATGGTGAAATTAATAAACATTGGAAATATTGAATAAAATATAAATAAAATAGATTTAGTAAATTTGGTAGACTTGATAAACATGTGTATAGACTTTCTTAGAGTTGATATTTCCTTTTCCCAACATCAACTCCAATAAACTCAAGGCTGCTAGAATTTTTTGATAAAATTGTAATATTTCTGAATTTTTTCATTTTCTATTTTTCTGGAATTTTTCGTTCATGCAAAGGTATTCTCGTCTTTTCTTGTTGTGCGTGCCGAACACCGTGGAGTGTGCCGATTGTGTCCGAGAGTTGGTTGGGACATTTCATTGACTCCAGGACTCTTTGAAATGTAAGGTTGTCATTTTTGCATTTTTTCGTTTTTTGGACCGGACGGTCCCATGTAGGACCCATTACTGGAATTGTTGCATACGGAAATTTTAGTTGAGTCCATTTGCATCCTATGCATTTTATTTAATGTGTTTTATGTGGTTGTGGATTGTTATGTATATGTGTGTGCGCGCGCGCGCGTATTTGTGGTTTAAGTTAAAAAAAAAAAAAAAATCTTATTTTAAAGATGGGATCCACATTTTTATTTTTAGAAAATGGGCCAAGAGGCCATTTCTTGGCCTCACTTTTCTTTTTCTTTCTCTCTCCCCGCTGGATTCTCTCTCCCTCACAAATTTTCTTTTTTCTTTTTCCTTCTCTATTAAGCTTCAAATCTCAATTTCTCTCAAACCGTTGAATGATTTTTGATGCGGTTTGCAGCAAATTAAAGGGCACGGTGAGATCTACACATCCATATAAGCAATTTCAGATTTGGTACTCTCTAGGGATTCCGATTTTGAGACCTATTTTAGGGATTTTTCATCATCCTTGAGTTAGGGGTTTCTAATTCCCAATTTCTTATTCCTTTGTGAGTCAATTTCTTGTTAATTATTGCTAACATATTTAATTGGTGTTAATTAACCCTAGAATGATTTTATTATGGTGTATAAAGTTCTTGGATTTATGTGTTAATTGATGTATATGAAAAACATGCTTAAATGTTGATTTCCTATACCTATTATATTACTAATTGCTAGAAATGATGTATGTAAGCATATATAATTTTTTTTAGAATTTCTTGTGAAGCATGTCTTATTTAAATTGTTTGTCTTGAAAATGATATAATTGTTGTAATATAAACTTTATGCTTATATGTGTTGATGGTATTATGTAAGAAACATGCCTAAATGTCAATTTCCATGCCACGGTGTTTATTATTTTCCTAGAAATTTCTATGAAGAAGCATGTTAAATTGTGAAGTGTAAATTTCCTCTATTTTCATACTATTGGAAAAATACATGGCATGCATCCATAGCATTGGGCATGAAAGAAAAGGGGAAAGTATTTTGAAATGAAAGTGAAAGGGATTTTTTGGGAATTTTTTTATTTTGATAAATGGTTTTTTAGAAAACCAGGTCGTCGCGGAGTCACCAAAGGGCCGTGGTGTTAATATAGCCTAGAGGGAATTAGGGAGAGTACCTTAACGTGGTTGAGCTGTCTGGCCCCAAATGACACCGCGGAGGTACCAAATGTCAGGAATAGTAGCTAATCCTTCTCTCATGTCGTTGCGGAGTCACCAACGGACAAATTATATTAACAGTTTGAAAAGCAATGGATTTGAATTTTGAAAATGGGGAGCGACATACAAGACATTGCATATTATGGCATGGTATTGTTTCTTTGAAATTGGAATTTATGTTGTATTCTTTTCCGGCATAGCATGACCCCTATCCTCTATTCCTATTTTCACTGGGCCACAAGAAGTGTATCTTAGACACTACCTACTAAGCAATTTGTTCATCCTATTACATTTAACATTTTTCAGGACACGGATGGCAAGTGGCGGACAACGCTCCTCCACAGGGTTCGATGGGTTAATAGACCGTTTTAATATACTTTATAGCTATAATCTTATTTTATTATTTATTTATTTATTATTACTTATTTTTTTTACAAACCCGAAATGGCACGTATAATATGTATTGACGTTGGAAAGAATGGTATTGTCCCTAGTTGACATCGGGTTCGGGTAAGGACCCGGCTAACGGTTCGGACCTACGGGTTCGAGTCGTTACAAAAATACATGCATTTTTTTTATTATTAAAAGAATAAATATCAGTATGTGGTCCATGAAGCTGTTTGATAACTTAATTTAGTAATTAATTCCAAATTATTTAGCACTATAATAATTAAGTGTGTTTGATAGAGCAATTTGAATATCACTTAAAATGGGATAAAATTCTAAGTGTCAGGAATATCAATTATCGCTGAATTCTTCTAAAAATATATTTATTTTTTAATTACTACTTATAAACATCAACAACCAATTCTTCAATGATTTAAATATCATTTGAAATGAAAATTAGCTTAAACGGTATGATAGCAAAGAGATTTGCATAGCTATGTTAGAAGCAATATTATGAGTGTATGAATGCTTCTTTGAACTTTATAACAAAAATAATAATTTGGAAATGGAATAAGCTTTTATTTCAATCAGTCATGATTGGTGAGTCTTGTGATTTAAATTGGCTACTTGAGCAGTTGGGCAAGAATTGGTGCATCAAAAAAAAAAATTCAATTGCTTGGAATTTTCCATAGCCAGCCATGCATGAAACTGACGTTTGACTTCACCTTTTCTCTTGCTATAAATAGCAGCACTATTTGCAAACTTAATCTTTTACACCAATGTATATACGTTATAAGAGTGACTATAATGATATGACTCTTTCTTACTTTTAGGTCGCAATGAACACAATCTAAACTTGGATTGGCTAACAAGAAAGAGAATAAGCTTAGGAATAGCAAAGGGTTTAGCATATCTTCACGAGGAATCAAGGTTGAAAATCGTTCATAGAGACATTAAGGCTACAAATGCGTTGCTTTATAAGGATCTGAATGCTAAGATATCTGACTTTAGTTTGGCCAAACTTGATGAAGAAGAGAACACCCATACCGATCAGCACTAGAATTGCTGGAACAATGTGAGTTTATATCCATCACTTTTCCGCCTTCTATATTGTTCTTTGCATCTATTCATACCTTATTAATTGCTCAATTTTTCATGCACTTTCTATTTTTTTTATTTTTCAGAGGATACATGGCTCCTGAATATGCATTGAAATGTTATTTGACAGACAAAATAGATATTTACAGCTTTGGAATCGTTTTATTAGAGATTGTCGGTGGGGAAAGCAATACAAATGACAGGCCAAAGGAGGAGTTTGTTTACCTTCTTGATTGGGTAAGCTTTCTTTTTGGAGTTCTCCTCTTTCGAGTCTTTTGGTTTATATTTCTATGGGCAGGCCAGTTGCTCCATTGTGACTTAAAGGTTAGAGGTTCAAAACTGCAAACAGCCTATACCCATGCGGAAGTAAGGCTGCATACATCTGTCCCTTTCCAGACCTCGCAATGGCAGGAACCTCCTGTAACTAGCCCTTTCGGTTTACCCTTCTAGAGCTTGCTCTTGTTTCTCCAATTCTTAAATGTCTTCAGATGAAAAGGCTTCTAATATAATGATTCTTTTTAGATTTTTTATAAAAGTGCTTAAATCAAAACTTTAAATTAAATTCAGTGGAAAAACTTTTATAAACTGTTCAATCTCACATGACCACGATATTTCAAAATGATTTTGTTTCTTGAATGATGACAGACAGGATTTTTTTTTTTTTTTTTTTTTTTTTTTTTTTTTTTTTTTTTTTTTTCCGGTTGTGATGAAAATAGACATAAAGGAAATTGATAATTGAATCAGATTCTGCTTGAATGAGAGTAGTATACTAAATTCAAATGCATTTCCTACATTTAACTGACTTTTATTGGTCTGCGTGATGTGAAGATGAAGTTTCAATCAAAATCCAAAAAAAAAATATGTTTTTAGAAAAGAAAAACGAGATTTTTTTTCATTCTGAATAGCTTTATGATGGAAATGCTTTTGTTTATTTCTTTTACATATCTACTAATTTTATGAGTACTTCATGTTTTATAGTTACTCAGTTGGAGGTTGCATAGGATAATTAAAGTTGTATTTGTTTCTCCTTGGCAT